AATTTCAAATATTGCTTCAGAATATGTTAAAACAAAAGTACGTTTATCTACATTCCCATGTATAATTCATTTTGACGAAAAAACTATATTTGAAACAATTAAAGGAAAGAAAATAAAATGCGAGCGACTAGCGGTACTAGTAAATATCAATGGCAAATCACACTTGTTGGGTGTGCCTTCTTAACAATTCTCTTTACGAGATGATCAATATAAAGGAATAATGCAGTTGCTACATAAATATGGTATTAAATTAATTGTTGGTAGATTGTGCTTTGACACAATTCTCAATGTCACTCAACATTTGACATAAAAATTGACATTTTTTTTAACAAAAATGAGCCTTGAGGGAGGGTCTAGAGTGGTCAGAAAATGCCCAATATGCTTTAAAACCTACTTTCTGTATATTTGCACCAAATTTAACGAGAAAGGAATTTTTGTTTTAAAAGTTCTCTCATGCTGAATCACCCTAATATATATATATATATATATATATATATATATATATATATATATATATATATATATATATATATATATATATATATATATATATATATATATATATATATATATACATATATATATATACATATATATATATATATATATATATATATATATATATATATATATATATATATATATATATATATATATATATATATATATATATATATATATATATATATATATATATAAATATATATATATATATATACATATATATATATATATATATACACATATATTTATACATATACATACATATATATATATATATATATATATATACACACTAAATATATATATATATATACACACTAAATATATATATATATATACACATATATATATATATATATATATATATATATATATACACACACATATATATATATATATATATATATTTTTTTTTTTTTTTATATATATATATATTTAGTGTGTATATATATATATATATATATATATATATATATATATATATATATATATATATATATATATATATATATATATATATATATATATATATATATCCTTATAGTGTAGTCGAAAGACTCTTTTAATGTAAAAAAAGTCTCTTTCGACTACAATTTTAATTACCTCGTCTCTTAAGCTGTATTTGATTGTCGTCGAAATGTCAAAGCAATTAAATTAATGCTGAAGTACATTAAATTTTATTGTTTTTTAAACCGCTATAATAACGACTAGAAAGTTTTTTTTAATTAGTGGTGTTTTTGTTTTATTAAAAAACATTTTTAAAACATGCGTAAATGTTGCTACATCGACTATCTTATAGCCTGCTGCTACAAGGGAGTATTTCTACATCGACTATCTTATAGCCTGACTTGCAACAGAGTGCTGCTACATCGACTGCAATTAGCTTGACTCGCAAGGGAGTGCTGCTACATCGACTGACAAATAGCCTGACATATATATTTATATATACATATATATATATATATATATATATATATATATATATATATATATATATATATATATATATATATATATATATATCAGGGTGGGCCGAAAATTTTTTTTTTTGATTTTTGACTCGCTATACCATAAAAAACTTGTCTTTAGGGTACCTAAGGATAATGCAAAAAAAAAAAAAAAAATTACGTCTGGAGCTAGTGCATTGCGCTTGAATAATTGAAGAAATTTTCCCTTTTTCTAATTTTTTTACAAATAAAATTAAATTTAATAAATTCTTTAACAAATATCTAGACAGAGGCGTAATAAGGGTGGGGCTTGTGGGGCAGTCACTCCGGGAGCCTTCTTGGGGGTGAGGACCAAAAAGGGGTTTTGGGCTGAATTTGTTAATATAAGTCAGTCCAAATATTACTGAAAATGAGTACTTAAGCATAATTTTAGGTGTATAATATGTTGCAAAACCGTTGTCAGATGTGGGCTCTGCCCCAGACCTTGGTGGGGGAACAGTGCTACCCCATACCCCTAGCTGAGAAGGGGAAGGCCTCTTAAGCCACCCCTCTTCCGCAGGACCTCCATATGCGGCCCCTTCAGGGCCTTATCGCTAAAAGTCTCCCCCATGACATTTTTTTTTAGTTGGCATGTCTGTTTTAGGAGGGAGGCGCAAATTTTCAGCGTTGCCCTGGGCACCAGAAACCCTAGCTACGCCACTTTATGTAGAAGAAATTTAAGTAAAAAAAGTATTGGAATGGTAAATAAGAAATTTTTTTTTTGAATTAAAAACCCATCTTTTTGAATAAAACTTTTGTGAAAAAATATATTCTTTTCCTTTTTGCTAATTTCTGTTGGTAGTTTAAAATACGATTTGCTTGAAAAATTAGGCATTGACAATCTGGAGTTATTTGTAGTTCTTATAATGCCATCTCTGGAATTGAAGCCAGCTACTTTTTGTGAAGCCTCTGTTACAAGCTTTACGCATCTTTCTACTGCTTGGGTGTGGCATGGAAATTTTTCAAAGTTCCACTCAGCCGCTGTTTCACTTGATTGGATCTTTGACCAAATATCTTTATCTTAGACTCTTCGCAGCAAAGGTGGTGGCAAAAGTGTGGTAGTGTTCCAGTCAATCATGTCTGTATAGTCAGTAGCAAGGAAATTAATTTTGAGTGGTTGAAAACTCCTGATGAACTTTCTTTGAGAAGCTAGGCTTCTTGCCTTTATAATTTTTTTAAAACCCAACTCTCTTATATAAACCCTTTTGTCTACTACCATTGTTAAAAGCAAGTTTTCTGAATGTGCAAAAAAATGAGTTTCTCTTGATTACTGTGTCTATTACTTATAGCAAATAATTGGGCAGGAATTTTGACAACTTTATCATTTCAAATACATGTTCTGCTCCATTTATGAAGTATTTACCTTATTTTATATGAAACCATTCAGAGAAATATGATTTTAAAAGAAAAGAAACTAAGATTTTGTGCTCCTCTCTTGGGGTTTCAAGGCTCAAATACAATCGTAAAACTCTGTTTGCAGTTGTTAACCACCTTTAGTGTGAAATTGCTCCAGGTTCACGAACAGATAAATCTTCTGAACTACTGCCTGATTTAATACCAGAACTTATATCCAGCAAGAACTGCTAATCTTTGCTTAAAATTTTGCAGTCAATTTCTGAAATTTCACAATGGACACTGACAAATTTTACCACTGGTAATTTTTCACACTTATTAAGCTGTGCGCCAATTGGACCGCTAAATGATTTTGGGCCTGTTGTTTCTCCGTCTAACATTTGAAATTAATGCCAGAATGGCAATTTGCTGAAGTGTAAGAGACAAATCCATCTTTGCAGTGGTCGGTTTACATATTTTTCAATTGTGGCAATAACACTGGATTTCCACCCTGTGTTAGTAACAGTGCCATTGCATCCAATTACGTCCAGTTCATGAAATAAAAATCCAGCTTCATTCAAATATGAAATAATGCTACTGGCAATGTTCAGCAGACTCAGAAGTTGGTGAAACATGACCAACATACATGGAACCTGGTTCTTGTAAAATTGAGTAATGTTCCTCTTTTATGGTTCATCGAAACCATTTCGATTTAATTTTTTCAACCACTAGAGTTTTGTCCTTCCTCCCATCAAAATACAGTCCTTAAAGTGGGTTATATTTCTCCTTGCTCTACATTTGAAATTGTGAACGGTTAGCCACTTTTGCTCTTCTAATTTTATTTTTGTCAAAAACAAGACTGGGATCATAATTGGTTACAATACCGAAATCTTGCAAAACACTTGAGGCAATAGCTGCCGTTGCTCTGTCAGATAACCCATAGCGATCGATAGTCAGAGCAGTATTTTTCATTGTAATGCGCATCTGCCATATGGCTTAATTAGCTTAAATTCTTCTAATTCTTCATCAATGACTTCTGTAATGGGTATGGAGGCATTACTATTGAACTCTTTTTGCTTTAGTGTTTCATCAAAATGGTTTGAGCATGAATGTTGCAGTAATAGATTATTAGCCGGGATAGTTTTTTTAAGTTCAGCACATTTCCTATCCTGTCTTTTTTGTTTGTTTCTTTTACGCCAATATTTCTGATTTTACCAATACCATGCATTCTTTGGAAGTGCACAAATTTTAGTTCAATGATGGGGATTTTTTTTTCTTTTTCACACATACAGGTAATTAAAACAGAACACTCGCATTCATAAATTTCAGTTACCATTTTACATTTGCGGTTTAATGTTATTTTATACTTACACGCCGAGGCATCAAACAATAACAATAATTTTGTATTAAAATCTTCAATGATTTTGTATTAAAATCTTTGACTCAAAATTTTGAACTTTCCTTTTTCTTTATCACACTTGAAGGGTTTTATAAGGTTGTGATAACTGTCATGGTATCCATTTATTAATTGGACAACTCTGTAAATTGTTACTGTGGGTATTGAAGTTTTATCAAACATTGATTTATCTTGTTGTGCGACACAATTTGAAACAAAAGAAAACTGGTTTGTTGTTTGATTTCAAGGCTAGTTTGTAATTTTCATTAAAACAACACTTGAAAACTTCTTCATAAGTTGAAAGTTTATTTGCAGATAATTCTATTGAATGATCAAAAATCGGGCACTTGAATTTGCTACAAGTAATTTTTTTAAAAACCGACATCACAGATTGGTTAATATTATCAAATAATCAAAACAAAATTATATCAAGGCAAGTTGTTGTGGCAAGAAAAACATCAATTTTGCAGCGCATTTTGGGAATACTCTAAAGCGCACTTTGTTACGAAAACGATAAAAAGCGAGTATTTATTCAAATATTCAAGTACAATGCACTAGCTCCAGATGTTAAATATTGGTATTTTTTTTGAAGCATGTTTTCCACGGTATAGCGAATCATAAATCATATAAAAAAATTTTCACCCTACCCTAATATATAAATATATGTATATATATATATATATATATATATATATATATATATATATATATATATATATATATATATATATATATATATATATATATATAATTTGCTATTGTTATATTACATTATTTTTAAGTTCATTGCGACAAAAACTGGCTCCAAAAGTTCTTATTATTTTGTGTGCAAACTTATTGTGCACTCTTGTTTTATTCCTTGCTTTGGTATCAAAAACAGAACCTCGTGGTTTGTGTCAGACTGTTGCTTCATTGTTGCAGTTTTTTATTTTGTCAACATTTTTCTGGATGGCAGTAGAAGGATTTATGTTGTATAAAATGTTTGTAAAAGTATTTGGTGGATCGCACAACTCCACTAACATTTTGCTAAAAGCTTCAGCATTTGGATGGGGTGAGTTTTATATCATTGCATTACATCTTTAAGATATTGATAAATCTTTAAAAAGCTGTTTTGATTTCTATAAAATATCTATAAAGACTTTTAAAAATGTTATTTGTTGTAAAGACTTTTTTTCTTTTATGTGTAAATTTACTTACTCTATTTTTCTTTTCTTGTCTAAAGCTCAAATGGTAAGAAGTGAATTTTATAATGATTTTATTTCATTTAATCAACATTTGCCTTTTTTTTTTTTAGGTATGCCATTAATATTTACAGTTGCAACTGCAGCAAGTAAACCTGATTCCTTAGGCCCTAGTCTAGGTCCAATCACCAAAAAATATTTAAAGTTGTAAGCAAAGTTTAATGTTAAAATCAAATGTCTATTACTTTAAATACTAGAATTTTATATTTGTTATACAAAATTTTTTTTGTTCAGGTGTGTTGTTCACGGTTTTTCATTTTATTTTGGTATACTTTTACCTGTCTGCATAGTAATGGCATTCAATATTGTAATACTTTTATTAGCTATCAGAGGTATTGATAGCAACTCTAGTCTACAGAATAAGATAAAGAAAAAAAGAAAAGTCCGAATTGCTTTTGTATGCTCTTTATTGCTTGGCACAACTTGGTTGTTTGCAATTTTAGCTGTTGGAAAACTTGAAATTACATTTCAATGGTTATTTTGTATTTTTAATTCTCTTCAAGGTTTCTTTATTTTTTTGTTCTATACTCTTGATAATAAAAAAGTTAAAGACCAATGGATGTCATTTTTGTATGAAAAGAGAGTCTGGCAGCTCAAAACGTTTGAGACAAGTAAGTCAAGATTGTTTTTAACAAAAAGAATATGTATATTAATAATTAAAATTTAAAAATTTGTGGGCAATATGCAAAAATTAAAAATTGTAACAATAAAACATACAACATCAGGTTGACCAAGTACATATTAATTTATTCTGTTAAAAATTTTTTCAAATAGTTGTACAGAGATATTTTGACTACTAATTGTTGGAGCCATTTTTTAATCTGATATGTTAGAAGTCATTATGCATAAAAATAAAATGAAATTAGTTAACAAAAAATATATTTTCTCTCAATAATTTTTTTATTGAAAATGATTATGATAAGCATAAGAGACTAAAATAAACCAGAAAATAACAAAAAGGTTTGTTACTTTACCCAATTCTTTGTATAGAACTTAAAAATATTTGACGTCACTCATGAGCTATTGGATTTGATCAAAATTGCAAATCTGGGTGTTTTTCTTGTTCCATGTAAATGTGGATTAAAGTATTCAGGCGAAACATGCAGTTTGATAAAAATCAGAATGAAACAGCACCAGTATTCAATATTTTCTGAAACAGGCTTACAATCAGCTGAAAATTTAAGATAATATCGATTGTGATAATGTTTTGTTGGTCAAAAATCAGAAAATGATTTTTATAAAAGAGCTATTTGGGAATCTTTAGAAATACACTATACAGGTAGGTATGTCAAAACTAGTCAATGACAAGATGTGTTTGTGCATATAAAAGAAACCAACCTAATTTTAAAAATTGAGAAACCTGCCTAAAGCAACTGAATCAAACTCAAGATAAAAAACAAAAAAGTTTTGCAGTGCTTATTTTGAAGTGAAACGATGTTAAACTTCTCACATTAAAAAATGGCTCCAACAATTTGAAGTTTAAATATTGCTTTTTTAACTTTTGTAAATTAAAATTAAGTTTGTAATTTTATGGTTAAATAAAAATAAAATACTTTGATAAGTGGTTTTCTACTAATTTATTGTTGTTTTAAAAATATATAAATTTTTCTACTAATTTATTGTTCTTTTAAGAATATTGAGCACTGTATTCTGTAAAAACGCTTTGTGTGTGTATATATATGTTTTTTACAAAACACAGTGCTCAATATTCTTAAAAGAACAGAGCAACAATTAATTAGTAGAAAACCACTTTTCAAAGTATTTTATTTTTACACTGTGTTTAATCAATAAAGACTCCTTAGAAATAATTGTTCAAATTAATAAAACTTCAATTTATACCAAAAATTAAATTACAGGAAGTCAATCATGTCTTAACTACTGTAAGTTTTCACATAATAATGGAATATGCTGAAATTATAATAAAAAAAAATTCTTAAAAGTTAAAATTTATTTAATTATTAGAAATATATTTTTAAAGGGGGCATTTAATATAATTTAATTTGAGCTAACTTATTTTTTTATAGTTTTTTAGAAACTAACTATAAGGCCAACTTATTTTCATGTCTGCATTTATAGATTAATTACGATTTTTTGTTTAATTAACATTATTAGTTTGCATGTGTAATTATTTCAAATTTTTCTTCTAGGCATAATATGCATTTTTTAACAATATCTTTTTCAAAACCGAAAACAAGCACAGATGATGTTTTTTAATAATAACCAAGATAATAATAATTACCGATTTAAAACAAAAAATACTATACCATTATACCTAACTTGGAAAACTTGTTAATTATCTATTACACTTTATTAAAGCAACAAAGATTTGGCCTCCATGATTAAAAATTAAAACGACTGTAAATTTATTCTATTTGGCTTTAATGATTTTTACCCCTCAATAACTACAGATGCTTTAAATAAAACAATTGAGTTTGCAAAAATCCACCCAATTATTCCAGAAAAGACAATTTGTATAATTTAACATTGCAGAAAAACTTAATTTTATTAAGAAAAAGACAAATATACATGACTGTTTTGATGTAACAATGGACAGTTATGATTGAGTAGAAATTTGTACATTTGATAGATTATATGTAGACCACATGGGTAAAACTAGAGGTGTACCGGATATAATATCCGGCTGGATAATCTGGCAATAGTGCCTGATAATCCGGTATCCGTTATTCGGCCGGGTATATCATATATCCGGCCGGATACAGTTGGATATGTAATTTTTTAAACTATCTCTTATCCCATTTGTGTGCATACTTTTATAACAATTAGGTTTTGAGTAATTTAGTTAATAAAAGTAAAAATTAAGTATTATAATGATATAATATACCGTAGTATATTATTTCACTATAACAGTAATTGCACAAATTTAACTTTTAAATGATCAAATGTTCATTTGATCATTATTTCTCACTAACTTTTCACTATAATTCACTAATCACTTCTGAATTTTGGAAAAAGAAAAAAAGAAATGAAAACTTTTGAAGAAGGAAGTAAAGGCTTCATCCCCCCCTCCCCAATAATTTTTCAAATGAAAAATTTTGAAGAAATTAAATTTATATCTGGCTGGATATTTAAAAAATCATATCCGGTACACCTCTAGGTAAAACCACAATGTCACATTTTTCTCATTTTGAGAAAAATGAAGTTTAGTGTTTAGTGACATTAAATATCTGTTTGTTAAGAATGTATTTAATTAAAAGTATATTTTTTATGACATTTTAGTCTTAACACAATATATAAATGCAGTTTTTGTGCTAAATAAAAGAATTATTTATTCACAATGTACTTTTGAAAACAAGACACTCATTTTTGACATCAGTGGTTTTTCTGTTATAAATTTATCAACTCATAAAGCATGTTAGCTTATAACTTTTTAGAGCACTTATTTTTTTAAAGGTAGATGGTAAAACATTGTAATATACAACCACAACATACAAAGTAAGTTGAGGGATTATAAAGCCCCCCCCCCCCTCTTTTTTTTTATATAAAAAAATTCAATTAAAAAATTATATGAAAGTTTTTAACTTACAAAATAGCATTGCAACCTTATTCTTCCCCAACCTCATCTATTTATCATAAATGATTCTATGATGTCTGTGTTTCATCACTTTATATCAAGTTTGTAAAATCATACAAAAATCACCTGAGTGTCCACAGCTTTTGTATGATTTATACAAACTTTAATACTCGTTAATAAAAATTTGTTTTTTTAATTTTAAAGAAAAACTAAATATTTCAAAAATAAGATAAAATATTATCAAATGTCTTATTTTGTCCAATTAAAAAATGTTTAGCTTCAATAAGTCTTTGAATTTTTAACAAAAAAGAGGCAACAGGGCTTTGTATGCTTGTTTCAGTTTATCAGGCACTTCGATCTTTGATCAAAACATAGGGGTTGTAATACACATAAAGTTAAATTTCTTTAATTTCCCATACAATTAAATTTTAAGTAGTGTTTAGTATTTAAATTTCTCTAAGTGAACATGAACAAAAAACTAAGAAGTTTAGCTTTGAAACTCTGCAATTTTCAGAAATGTTTCTTGTATCATGTTTATATATAATATTGAATTGTTATGGTTTTTTGTGAGATTGTCTAGTGTTTCTGCCAGAAACTTTTGATTTGCAATGGCCATGTTTCTGTCACATTCTATATATATATATATATATATATATATATATATATATATATATATATATATATATATATATATATATATATATATATAAATTTTTTTAAATGTTTTTCTGTAAACGTAATGTTTACTTCATCCAATTTAGTTTTCTCAAAATGACTAAAAGTCATGTGACTTACGCTTTTATTATCATTGGTTTAGTTATAAATAACTTTGACAACTGTGTTTTTTACCTGGAAAACATTGGACAAGAGTTGTTGTTTTAAAGTTGCCCTTTTTTTTAAATTACTATAGAACCTTAAAACATAGTTTTTTATTTATGAATTTTTAAATTAAAATAGCTTAATACTAAAATATCATAAAAATGTTTTTTTTTTTGAAAATTTCAAGTTTTATATATATATAAAACTTGAAATTTTCAAAAAGTGGACATCTGTAGTTTTACCTGTGTGGTCTTCATATATTTTAGATTCATCAAGTAAAATAATCAATTTTAATGATTTAGGCCTTTATCGCGATGATGATTTACTATGCATTACTAAGTGTAAAAATCTGGTCTACCGCTCAATGATGTTAAAAATCCTAATTTTAATTAATAACAGGCCAAAATTCTACTGATGACTATGTGTTAAATTCCTCTAATGAATTTTCAAAGATGTCATCAAAAAAAGTGGACTGCAAAAATTAGACCCTCAAAAAAAAAAATACAAAAATACGAAATAGAACTAGAAATATAATTTGGTTCAACCACCCATATAGCAAAAATGTTTCTACTAACATAGGAAAAGTTTTTTAAAATTGGTCAATAAACACTTCATGCCCTCTAATTAATTACATTAAATTTTCAATCGAAATACAATTAAAGTTAGCTACAGCTGCACAAAAGATATGGAAAGAATTTCAAAAGTTCATGCTTTGCTAAACAAAAAAGAAATCCTAAATTATAAAACAACAGAAAATTGTAATTGTAAACAAAACAAAAAATTGCCCAATAAGTAGAAATACTTATCAAAAAGCGTGATACATTAATGTGTTGTTTCCTCTAAGAATCTACTTGATTAACAATATCTTGGCTTAACAGAGAGTGAATGTAAAAGGCGTTTTGCCAACTAAACAAGCCTTTCAAAATACCTGTTTAAAAGACGCCATGCTGTCAAAATACATATGAAAATTGAAAAAAATATAAGTTGATGATTTTATATTGAATTGGTCCATCTTGGTCAGCATATAAAAATATTTTCAAAAAATGCATATAATGTCTACAAGAAAAATTTGAAATAATCACATATGTGAACCAAGAATGTTTACTAATTAAAAAAATGGGAATTAGTTTCTGAATGAAGGAATAAAAATAAGTTTCTTCTGAAAATTTATAAAAATAATTGAGCTCAAAAATGATTATATTTAATCTCTCCTATAAATATATATTTTTTAAAGTAAACAATTATTTTTATTCTACAATA